TATTTGTACTGTGAAAACAAAATCCATAGTAAAACTACTTTACCAGGAATGTTTAACTAAACTAAGTTAGTGTTACTTACAGAATTGAGTTTGTGTTACTTAAAACTTTCGATGTAATCCTTTTCAACAGTTGTTTTGAGTTAAAATAACTTATTGCATTGTCAAAAAATACTCTACTAATTGCGTTTTACTTCCTATAACTGACTGAATTTGTTATTATATATTATATGTATGTATGTATATGTGTAATATCAGTTTCTTTAGAACAAATGTTGTTGGATTGGGATCTTTTGATCTGCTCACGGTTAAAATACGAAAGGAAATCTTTTTTGTTGCTTCGTTCTCACCCCGTTGTGGACGAGTGTCGACATTTCTGCATTTCTGGACCTGTTTCTAAATTTAATTCCTTTATCTAGACAACACAATGTCAGGAATGTAAACCACATTTTCTACCAAGTAAACTTAGCAGCTGCAATTAAGAGCTTAAAGTTTCCCATGGTTGTTTTATTTATTATTTAATTTCTTTTGGTGAATCTGGTTCTTTTTAGATGGTACTAGAATCTTTTTTTTTAAGATTTCAAAAAACCACATTAAGGAGGAAAGAGGATCAAAAGGTTAAACCGCTCTAACCCATGACAAGAGGGACTTTTATTGTCAACATGACCGTGACTCTGCCATTACACAAAGACCTCTTTCCCCTCTCCATGGACCGCTCAAGTGTGTTATTCATTCTACCCTGTAAAATAGACTCTTCTCTTTAGCCTCCTTGGCCCCGGCAGCTCTTCTCTTCTCCTCTCTTCTCCTGACAGCACTGACCCTGAAAACCGTAACTTTTTAATCATATAAAACTTGTATTCCTACGTGTAGAGCCAGCCTTCCCATATGAGGATCCCTGTGTACTGCATTAACAATCAACTAAAAAAGTACAACTGCTGATGATCGGTGACTATATCTATTCCATTCTTAGCACTCGACGCTTTCTGTGTGTTGCCCCCGGAGGTGTTCTTTCCGCCGCTCTCTGGGGAGCTCATCTGCTCCACAGTGATAGAAATGCTTCCTCACCCTTGGATGCTGTGGCTAGACCAGCTGGCTGTTCTCTAACTGCTTTCTGACAGTCTAATATACCCCCAAGCCTCGCGCGGGATAATCGCCCCCACCGTTAAGGACACCAAGCTACTTAGGCAGACTGAAGGCTTTGCAGTTTTAATCAGTCGTAGGCTGTTTATCTCCCACTCGGAGTGCTCTCGGTGCTTTTCCACGTGTACCTGGGTTCTCAATGAATTACACTTGGCTTCTGCATAGGTTTTTAAAAGACAGGTGGTGGATTATGTGGTGGGTGTCATTTTTCTTTCTTTTTTTTTAAGGTACCTCTTTCTAATCGGGAAGAGGTTTTTGCTGTGAGGGTTTTTTTTTTGTGTGTGTGGTGGGGGTCTTTCTCTTAAGCTCTGTCCTCTTCAAAGCATTGTGTGGCTCCGGTATCATGTGTAGCCATGAACAATCACAGGTATGCAATCTATACAATGGTTGTCTCCCACA